GTAACGCGGTGCTTCCATCTCACGTCTGTCTGCTGTGTGGTCGTGATATTTCACCGGGCGAGCCGGCCCATTCGTGCGAATATGTTAAAGCGGGCACTACCACTGTTAGATTGATTTTGACTAGTATTGTCATTCATTGTACTAATCTCCTAAATAATACATACTCTTGCAATAAGACTGGTTAGTTGAAGATTTAAAACATTTATCGTAGTTAGGTCTATTGAATTCATAATTTAAATTGGACCTCGATCTCAAATTAAACTAGTTAAGGCTCTCTATTAACGGCATTACGAATCGAAAAGGTTAATTGGCTCTGATGAAACTGATTGAAATCTATTCTAAACTGTTTCTAATTAGCATTTATTTTCGTAATGTTAATATAGTATTATGGGCGTCACGTCACAGCCATGTTATGCTTTAATAAAATATAGTCTTCATTACCTCTTATGTTTTCTTCCAATTTGCACAGAATAACCTTACCAATATGGCCGTCGTGTCGTCGAGCTAATGCAACACCCTTATTTTGACATCCGACTACTATCCGATTATTAACATAACAAGCACAATTACGACATTTTAAAACCATGACACAAATATTTTAAATAATGTTTTGGATCACAATTACAAAGCTTATATCGTTATTTCAAATTATGACAAATGGTGTTGATTTATAGCACAGACTAATAAATTTCAAGAATACAGAATACGTCAAAGTAGTTAAAAACCTAACAGTATACATATAATAAAATTGGAGTATCTGTTTGTAATATCAAAAGAAAAATTCCAGATTTCGGGAAAATGATGTATTTGCGTTGCTAATAACGAAAATTTTAATTATTTTTTTTTGTCTGTCTGTCCGTTAGCCGCGTTTGTTCCGGGTAATCTCCGAAACGACTGAGCTAATTTCGACCGGACTTTCTCGGAAGGATAGCCGACATAGACGGACATATTATATAGACTACTTTTTTATATTAATATTGCGTAGACCCGGGCAACAGCTAGTGTAATATAAAATTCGGCTAACCCTCTAGACTATGAGAATGGGCACACCTTTGACAAAACTATCGCACATTTTGTGCAACTAAACAGTTCCACAATTAAAAATTGAGTAGTGTGCTCACCTCCATATATGCTCATAGCAATCAAAGCGAGACTATACAGTTGTGCGATAGTTTAGTCAAAGGTGTGCGTACATATTGTGTGTACTTATAAAATCCAATTTATTACAATAGGATTTAATTATAGATCCATTAAGGCTCAATGTCGATGTAACTAATTAAAGCCTTAATGAAGTACAGAATTAATATTCTCAAAAGGCTACGTGAGAAATTACTTCAACTTAAACGATGACGTAATCAAGTGTGAAAGCGTCTTGTTAGACTTTATTGATTCCAGTTAATTTGCCTTTCATGTAATTTGGTTTTCAAAGTCTTGGGATATATTTGTTCTAGCTTTCGC